TAAAAATAAAATCCCCCCCCCCCCCCCAGTGTGCTTTTCCAGTTATAAATCTGTCCAGCATTCTTTCAGGCAGATTTCCCCTAAGCAAGCAGGTTGCGAACAGGTAGCCGTGGAAGAGTGCTCAGTATTCTGGGCACATCTTCATACCTGGCACGGTGGTTTTCTCTTCCTCCCCTCCTTCAATCTGCTACCTCCACATGCCTCTAATATTCATTCCAGGCATGGAATCGCAGCTACAAAATGTAGATGAACTCTCCAGCTGCTGCGAGTTCATCTACCCTGCGTGGCTGAGATTTCTGCCTGCAAATTTCTGAACTTGCAATGCAGTCGTGTTCCTGGGTGTTTTGTGCTGTGACACTTGACTCTAAGGTTTTCTCCTTTCCGTTCACGAGGGAAGAAGTGGCTGACGGAGAAAGACAGTAATTGATAAGGCAGCATACTTATTCCCATTCAGAGGGAGTGCAAAATGTACTGGGAGCGAAGCCCAGCTTCCTGAACACCTTTATTTATTAATATTTTTTTAAAATCAAGTTTCTAGCCCTTAAGGTCATTCTAAGAACCCAGAGGAACAGCAGAGGAATTCTAAGACTGCGGAAAAAGTGGTAGTATTTTACAGATATATTTTCAGTGCCAAACCTTAGTACTCCCACAGTGACAGTATCTTGTAGTAGGAGATCTGGATTTAGATCTTAGTCCTCTTGTGAAGCTTGCTGGCTGATGTTGGTCGGTCATTCACTTTTTACTCAACTCAAGTGAAGTTGCCAGACAAAGGTAGAGCAAGATTATTTAATGTTGACTCCTTTGAGAAGATACTTGAGTTGTGTCCATGGGGGGGTAGGGGGAGTGCCGATGATGACAGCAGCATTGCGCTGTCACAATGCAAATTCCACCCCTTGTGTAGGTGTGTCGCGGTGGTGCGTGTTCAGAGAAGGCCGGGAGGGGGGCAGCTGATCCTGTTTTTTTGATTTTGACCAAAAGTATCAGATCCTGGGAAACCTCTGGGGAGTGGGGATCACCTGGCCCACCTTGCAAGCCCTGTTTTGGCACCCCCATTGCTGCCCAAATTTGTAGCAGAGTGACTTCTTTTTTTTTTGGCCATTTAATCTTGAAGTTATTTTGTGCAACCTACTTTGAGCCTCCTACCACCCAACAGAGTGAAAGAAAAAAATCGGCCCCACAGCCCTTCCATAACAAATGGTGCTGTGCCAGTGTTTCTCAACCTCAGCAACTTTAAGATATGTGGACTGCAACTCCCAGAATTCCCCAGCCAGACTAGGCCCAGCGGCTCGGGGAGTCCGGGGGGTGCAGTGCACAGAACATTACGTTGGTGAGGGTGGTGAACACCGGACCGAGA